ATACTTGGGAACATAAAGTCGTCATGATGATTTATAAACATAAACATTCTGACTTAAAGGATAAACAAACTAATAAAAATCATTACCAAGTGGGAGCCATGCTAGATGGGGGATATGAGGTGGTGGAAGGTGTTCTCAATGTATGCTTTTTGTATATCGTTTTGATTTTTGAACCATGTCAATACTTTGCCTATTCAAACAAACACGAGTATACATACCTACATATAAACACATTTGTGGGGATCAGGTTTTCCTGAAACTTCATAGGCATGCATAGGAGCCATGTAACTACAAGAACATTCCTTTGAATATACAAAATTAAGATATTTGCTTCTTTAAAGATGCTAAGTTTTGAGATGATGTCCCTGGTTTATTAAAGTTTGTTTGTGTCCTCCATTGAATAGACTTTATTTGAAAAGATTAGTTCAGCTAAAGATAGGACATGATTTCAGTTGAAGTCAAGGTATATACTGTTATATGACTGGCAGGTAGTCCATTTGTCCTCTGACAAGCTAGTTACCACTGACAAATTTTAGATGAAATTTCAGATGTTCATTTTACAATTAATTTCTTCAGATAGCCCACAACAGAGTCCAGGAAGGGGATCCTTTTCTTTTTTTTAATCCTGAGTCCTCTGAAGCCTTCAACAAAAGGGTTTGTGGGTCCATTCCTAACAGTTGGATTCTTTTTGCTAAGAGAAAGAGATTTCTTTTTCAAATGAACTTTCCTTTCAAGTAAGCTAATTGTTTATTTAGAAAACTAACTTCTGCTGGGTACATGTACATATCATTTCTGAGGGTAAGAATTAATTTAAGAGCCAGGTAGGGAATTTTTAAAAAAGATAATAGACTTTATAATTTCCAGGAGAAGATCCAAGATGTACATCTTCATAAAATTTTAGATTATCTTCTTTCATTTATGTTTTAAAGTAAAAGACATTACACTGACTTAATGTCTTAGTTGTAAAGGTAAACATTTATTTTTAAAATTATGATACTACTTGATGCAGTATTTAAAACCATTTTCCTAACAAAAGTCATTTATTACCATAGCAGAGAGTTTTAATATGTAGTAAATCTAATATTTCTTTTTTCCTGAAGAAACTTTCTTTTAAGTACTTAAATAACTATGGGCACACAGTTTACTTGTAATAAAGAATGTTAATGGGGAGGGTAGGAATTAATTAACTAGACCCTTAATAATGGGGCTTTCTAGTCCAAAGAATCTCATAATTGCCTCAGAAGCTAGTTGTGTAGCAAGTTGCAAGGTGAAATATGTAGATTTGTGTAGTAGTCATTCTAAGAAAAAGATTGCCTTCAGGCAAACTTTGGTACCTTTGTTATTATGTAAAATGCCTTTTTAATGATAAGGAATACACATTGTTAGTAGAATTTTGAAAGTAGAAATCCAGTGCCTCCTGTTTATTCAAGATTACATTAGCAATAAGGGTAAGACTCTCCAGTAAGCACAGCTTTTGCTCCCTTTGGAGAAATAGAACCTTTCAGCCAAACTTTATACACCTAGTGCTAGTTTGTTAATCTTAAAAAGATATTCTCATGATTACTAAGGATTGATGAAGTATGTGGTAATTGTCTTAGAAACTATGTTTTAAACGAATGAAATGGAAAAGCATAGGGAATATTTTCAGTAAATTTTGATATAAGAAATGTACAGGTTGAAATATAGCTTATTACATAATTTCTGCAAATGCCATATGCTCCAAAGTGGTTTACTTTATTTTAAATCCTCCTGAAGAATATTTAATTTATTCCTTTGGGATTGCCCATTTTGTACCATCCAAGCTACTTGAAAAATCTGATCAGTGTGTGCCAGGACTGCAATAGTATAACAGTTAGTGAAAATAGCCTGCTTTGCTTCTGTTGGGAGGACCGTATGAAAATATATTCCATTTTCAAAATGTTTCTGAAAGGACTTATTTGTGGAAATGATGCTTGCCATTTAAAACTCTTCGAAAATGCAGGTTTTACAAAATACAAAAATAATCTCCTGAAAGTTTGAGAGGGGAGTGGGGGCTGTTGTGTGGGGGCGGTCTCATTTGCTGCCCATATCCTCCCTCTGTTCAGTGCGTTGTGTGCTTACGGGTTCCCTGGAGCGGATCACCATATAATTGATGTGCAGTCTGCATTGCTGAATCCTGGACTGCACCATTCTGTGTTCAAGGGAAGATGTAATCTGATCCCTCTGCTGCTGAGGGAGGAATCTGTTCAGTCAAGGCTTTGACAGGGCATAGTCTCCTCCAATAATCTTCTCAGTTCTCTCTCATTATTCCCTCGAGTTCTCCTCAGTCAAGCTGCATGTATGTATGTGTGTCCCGAGAAGCGGTTTGATACTGAGCTGCGTTTGCCTTTACTGTGGAGTTTTGTTGCCGGTTCTGCTCCCTAATCTTCCTTTTCTGACGTGCCTGAGCATGTCCACATTAGAATCTGTGACATACCTACCTGAAAAAGGTTTATATTGTCAGAGACTGCCAAGCAGCCGGACACACGGGGGCACAGAATCACTGAAGGGGAAAAATACAGAAAATATGGGTTTCTACGGCACACTGAAAATGATTTTTTACAAAGTAAGTAATCTGTTTTCTTCCTGTGTTGTATGATTGTGTGTGTGTGCCTGCCTGAGAAGGAAAATCTGTATCATCAGAGATGGCTGCAGTATCCTCTAATTTTGGTGGGTGGCTGGATGTCTGCTATTCTGTTTTATATCGTGAATGTAAGCAAATAATGGAAAGACAACGTGAGCTGTAAAAAGCTTTAAATTTAAAATAAAATGTGTATTTTAATCTGAGGATTTTTCACTAGAAATATGTTCAGACTTTAAAAACGTGGCTCCATCAAATGCTGACATGGAAATACTCTATCCTTAGTTGGCTTTTAGTGAAGCTTTTGCCTTTAATTTTTCTATACCTTATATATATATATATATCACTTTTTTCTTTAGTTGACTTTTTTAAAGTGTAGAATCTCTAGAATGTTTGGGATTTATATTTAAAGAGGTCATATTTACTTTCTGCGCCCCTTGAAAAATTGCAGAATTAATTTTTGCTTCTAAAGTCAGTATTTTCAGTAAACAACATAATATTTAAAAGACTTGTATAGTCATTCAGAAAGTACTTTATATCATAAAATATTTTAAAGATAAAAATTTTTTCTCAGTTGTTCCCCTGATAGGTATTTTGGGTGTTTTTATTCATTGAAGGATTTCTAAGATGGAAATAAAGTTTGCTTTTAGTGGCAAATGACATTTGCATCAATGTATTTACAAGATATCCAGGGAAGTTCTGAAAACCAGTATTATAAACTTAATTAGAATGAATATCAAAGTTTCTCATAATAATTTTGAAAATAAGAATCTGTGGAAGTTATTAAAAAAAAACCCAAGATTTTTAAGGTTATCTGTACTGACTGACCTTCCCGATGGATACATTTGTGTTTATGTATACATGTGTGTCTATAATTTATATACATGCCAGCACGTGGCTACCTATGTATTAAAGCTTTTATATTTATTTTTGCTTTTTATTAAAATTATTTGAAGAAAGAAAATAATAGTCTTTGAGAGGAATCACTTTAAAACGATGTAATGAGTACAGAAACTTCTGAAGGGTAGAAATAAGACCAATTCCATTTCTTTCCAGTAGGTATTCATGAACTAAGGTATAAATTGTGGATGAGCTTGTCGTACCCTCACCTCTAGCCCTTAACATCATAAGATCATCCCTGTATTTTGGAAGACTTTCTTCATTATGATAAAAACATGGTCTATATTATCCAGAGTATGGTTCAAAAATATTTTTAGAGTCTTGTTGGTTCTCTTTAGTATTTATAGTGTAGCATGCTGTGTTATGCTGATGTTCCCACGTGAGGCAATAGGTAAGAAAATAAGACTGCTGCAAAGCAAGGATTTTCACCTTATTAGAAAAATGAGGATAGCTATCTATCACTCTCGGGTTTTTCCCCCTGTAATTTTCAATAATACAGTGATTAATTAGCAGACACAAATCTGAGAGGGGTTGTTGAAATAGGAAAAGTTGAATCTTATCAGATCTTATTTTCTAGTTTTATAATATATGTATAGTTAGATGACCTCAGTTAACCGTTAGTGAAGTATAAAAAATAAATATTTTAATATTGATGTAGACAAAATGCAATTCTGAATGTATTTACAGTATTGCATATATATAGCATAATGAAATACCCTACAAAGATGCATAACTCTTTCTTTTTAAATCTTTTTGTTGTTGTTGCTTTTCAAGTTAGGATATTTTGTCCTGAGTGAGTATCTGTCAGTAGAGTTATAGTCTGTGTAAATATCAGTTGATGGCTTTTTTCCCACCTTTATTATACCATCTCTAGATTTCTCTCTTATTACAGATTTACTTTTTTACTGTCCTCATTGCCCATATTCATTGCTTCATGCCTCATAATTACTTTTCAAGATCATTTTATTTATGTTGTTCCCTTTACTCTTTTATAGTAATATGTATTTTAAATTCAGTTACTGTTACTGCCATTCTGATTTTGAAATTTTGAATTTTGTTGTGTATTTTATCTTTCTTAAAATACGTTTTTAAAGGAAAATGAAGATCAGTTAAGGAAGGCATGTTAAATATGGTTCTTTCTGAGTGGATTAACATGACATTTTCCACTATGTTGGTTCTTAAACTGGAAAACGTGAAACGTATATTACTCTCAAGGAGTATATATGATGGATATCAATTTTTAAATCATCATGCAGTGTTCTTCTGGACAAAATATTAGGGGGAAAAATTCACCTTTCCAGTCTTGTAAAGAGTAAAATGAAGTAGAACTAATAGAAGAAACTATGAAACATATATTTTCTATATTAATTAATTATGCCTAATTAATGTAGGCATAAGAAAATTTAAGAATTTTTTCAATATTACTGATGCTAACATTAAGATTTGATAGTTGGACAGGTGTTTTTTTTTTTAAACATATCTTATTTGTTTTACCTTATAGATGAAAAGAAAGTTGGACCATGGTTCTGAGGTCCGCTCTTTTTCTTTGGGAAAGAAACCATGCAAAGTCTCAGAATATACAAGGTAATATGAAGTATAATCATTGATTCCCTCATGATTCTCATGTTTCTTTAAAGAGTTGATGATTCTAAAAGCATTTCTTCCAGTTTATTCTCATAGAACTATAATGTCTCTAGTACTGTTGACTGTTTAACACATTTTGAGATGACTGAAAATTGGGAAATATATCATTTTAAATAAGGAGAAGAATGACTACCATTATAGCTTTATATTTTGTTACTAATACATTGAAGTAAGACACAAGCAGAAGTTCTATCAACAATTTTTAAATCACAATTTTTAAGGAATTCTAAAAAGTAAATTATCTTAAAATGTGAACATATGAGCAAATGTATCTTGTTCCTATAGCAACAGCTGTTCTGGGGTGGATATTTATATATGCAAAATTGAAGATACGTTTATTAGCAGTGAAATAAACCTCACAATTACTAATTAAATCTTATTTTATGAAATTACTGTGTTAGAAATCCCCTTTTATTTGCTTGGTAGGTCTTATGTTTTTAACACATACATTTCTACACCAGTAGAATAGTTTCCATAACAACTAAATACAATTGTAGTCTTGTTTCCTCCACCATTCCATCATTTTTGGATTTTGCATCAGTATAAAACTTTTCCCACTCTCACGCTAATTAGGCTAACTTAAGCACAATATCTATTACCCAGCTAATTAAAAATGCCTTTGGATGTCATTTGGAATGTGGTGTTTTAAAATTTAAATGACAAAAAATATCTTAAGAGCTTTTTTTGGTCTTTTTTGTATAATTGTCACTTCTTCAAATAACTGAGTGAAAGTTAGCTATAGAAGCCATAAGAATTTCATGGTGATGACATTTCTTCTTTTTTCCCTACATATTTTGATTTAGAGTTATTTTTATTCTATAAGATGCAGTAAAATTAGCATTGCTCAGACCTAAGTTTTTGTGATTGAACATTGTTACAGATTACATCTTTTTTTTTCAGGGAAACAGTTTATATTTTTTTTATTTCATTCAGTTGTGGAAAATATTTCTTTCAAATGCTCTTTTGTGAAATTTAGAAACAATGATTAGAGTAGTTTTATATGAAAAGAATGCAGAGATGAAACGGAAGAGAAAAATGAGGCTATCTTTTAGTTATTCAGGAAATGCTTTTTGTGTGATTTTTCCCATGTTAACTGTCCCCCTCCCTCTTACTTAACCCCTTGCCTTTTGACAATTTCACTCTTTTGGCACTTCCACGAGAGGATGTTGAGTGATAGACAAGTGAAACTATTCACTTCATTTTTGCTTTTTCCTTCTGGTGTTGATAAAGTATTTCTTGGATGAGAAAGTTGAGTTTAATGTTAAAAATGTACTCTTTTTTTTAATGTATAGAAAATGTCAAGCATATTGGTCTTCTATTAATATACCAGGACAAACATATTAAATTGTTCAGTTGTTTTTAAAGCAGCTTATAAACGAATGCTGAATTTTTACTATAAAACACATTTAAGTAAAATTTGTCTTTAGTTGCTCACTTTTTATTTTGAGAAAGCACCTGAAAAGGTGAAAATTTTATTTTTAGCCTTTTAACATATAATCTTACTAAACAGCATATTGATTTCCATGTCTTTTTGGAGACATTGTCAGTATATATTTGATGTTTTAAAATTTCTTTGACAGGTTTTTCTAATAATAAGATGAAACTATGATTCTCCATCATTTTTTATTAGAAAATTTAAGTTATAAGCACATCCTTTTTCGTTTTGGAGAAGAAAATAGAGCTTACCTTTGAAAGTTAATAGAAGAAAAAATAGATTTAATTGTTGATTGTTAGAGATTGTCTTAGATGTATGATGTTAAAAGATTTAAATGTGGTACATATGAAGATTTTTCTGTAAAATCTAGTGACTGAGATACATTTTTTAACAAAATAATGAGATATGCTGGACAGAAAAGAATGGGGGAGTTGTTTCATAAGTAACTTATCAGAGCTTGATATTCAACTATTAGGTTACAATTTGTATGTTCTTTGGATTTAGAACACTTTATTATCATAACTCAATAAATTGAAGATTGTTTTACAAGTGTAGTTTTGTTAACTGAATCTTCCTGCTCCTTTTTTTAAATGTCTCCAAAATAGAAATATTCAGTATTTACCTTGAGTTTAAATAATTTAATTAGATATTGAAATTAGAAAGTTAAGTTTACTATATTAGTAACATAGTTATAACTTTTTTTTCTCCTATTAAGTAGTCATTTTTAGGAGAGTTGGACAATTTTAGAGATAGATCATCTAGACTTACTCCCTCATTTTACTAGTGGCAGAACTGAATTTCAGGTTTGTTTGTTTTAACTGTCAGAAAGTTTGTTATTGGATAAAAGTGATTAGATCTCATTTTTATTTAATTTTGCACATAATAAGTTCTCAATACTTAACCTGTTTTGAGTAAATACATTTCTAATCAAGGCTTGTTCCTGTCAAATATTGTCTAGACTAAGCTTTATAAATAAAAATAGAAAATGGGAGAGAAATAGACAAATATTATAAACAATTTAGAAGGCATCTGGGGCAAACTTAAGGAATAATGTGACTAGTGAAATGTTCAAAACATTTGAACATGCTACTTCTACATCTGAATTTTTTAAAACAGAAGTCTCACACTCCTTTTTATAAAGGAAATTTAAACTTTAATTGAATTATGTCACTGAAGACCAGTCATCAGAGAAGTAGAACCTGTGTCTTCTAAGGAAGTATTTTAACATTATTTGTATGTATCAACAATTTGCAGTTTTGCCATAGAGATTTTCTGTCATTTGGTTGCAATTAGCATTACTGGGATAATAACAGGTGGTTGTGTGGGAGGGAGGAAACTTACTCTAAGAATAGCAGAATAGGTTTTGTGTAGCCTTGCTCTCTGGAAATAAGCAAATAAAAATAATTCGATTGATGTTTGGAATATGCCAGATCATCATTCTTATTAAATTAGAGCTCATTATTCTTAATAAATATCTATCTTTGCTTCCACTCTTGTATTTTTTATAGTACTACTGGGCTTGTACCATGTTCAGCAACACCAACAACGTTTGGAGACCTGAGAGCAGCCAATGGCCAAGGACAACAACGACGCCGAATTACATCTGTCCAACCACCTACAGGCCTCCAGGAATGGCTGAAAATGTTTCAGGTGACTTGTCTAAACACAGTACTTGAAATGCCTCACTTAATTGCTGCAAAAAATAAGGGATTATTCAGCCGTGAAAAGGAACTGTTACATGCTACACCATGGATGAACCTTGAAAACGTTATACTAAGTGAAAGAAGCCAGACACAAAAGGCCGTTTATTGTGTGATTATATTTTTATGGAATATCCAGAAAAGGCCAGTCCATAGAGACAGAAAGGAGATTAGTGATTGCTAGGCAGTGGAGGGTGGGGAGCTTGGGACTAACTGCTAATAGGTTAAATTTAAATTTAAATTTCTTTTGGGGTGATAGAAGTGTTCTGGAATTGGATAGTGGTGACAGTTGAACAGGAAGATTGGTGTGCTGGGACCACTGAAGTGTACATTTTAAATGGTGAATTTTATGTTATGTGAAGTATATCTCAATAAAAAATGCTATTAAAAATAAGGGAGCTCATTTTAATTTTTAAGTGTATTAAGATAGTCCGATGCTTATTTTCTGTAAGTGTGCTTTTGCATTTTTTATTGCTTTTTAGATAATAAGACCTTTCTTCCTTTTCTCCTTCATGTTTGGGTTTCTGGGGTTGCTGAATGTATCTGTTTTCTAAACTGCATTGCTTGGAAGTTAAGCATTTAGGAGTAATGTAAGACTCTGCTGATTAGTCACTGTCGGTAACTTACCATCACTATTACCCTGGTAACCTCCAAGAGTTGAGGCAGCTCCTTTTCATCAGTGCGGTGCTTGTGTGTGGCTTATTGAGCCCAAATTCTGATTGCTGCATTTTACTAGCGTTTAAATTCTTTCAGAGTTTACTCAGAAGATTGGCTACAAGCAAAGCTTGAATATTATGAATTTTATAACTTGTGATAGTGATATTAAATTGATTTATCTCTTCTTCTAGTGAGATAATGCATATAAATCAAGTATTTAGTACGGATTAAACACTCGCTTAATTATTCTTTCTAAATAGTAAATAATGGAAATTATGTAAAGTGAAGGTAGCTCTGATATTAGCCACTATGCTAAAATGTAAAATGAATGTATTTCCTTACATCTGACTGCTTGTTTGGTGGTATTTTATGAAGGCTAAGGGAATAATGGTTGAAGAAGAAGATACTTTATGTGACTTTATTTGATAGTTCAGATTTTTAAGATGTCTGTTTATGTAAATCTTAATATTTTAAATACCTGGGCAAAAATTAAATAGATGTCCCAATTTTATTCTTCTGTAGCTGAAACACTCACTTGAAGCAATGTTGCTTTTAAGTGGATTTTAAGAAGTGTTTTCTACCCTTCACATGATTTCAGAGAAACTAAGATAATCTTTTTTTGGTCGCTAACTGAAAGGTTATAGCAGCGGTTCGCGGCAGGGGGCAGGTTTTCCCTTGGTTGTTACAACTGAGGGGGGTGGGATGCAGGACACGCCTGGCATCTAGTGGGTGGAAACAGTGCAAAGGACAGCCTCCATAACAAACAGTCATCTCGACCAAAATGTCAGCGATGCTGAGGGTGAGAATCTATGGGTTAGAAGAATGAAAGTTGTATTTTACCATTATTATAGCGTTATAAACTACTGTAATTACAAAGAACTTCTTTTTTCATTTTCGTAGCCATTTGTTGATTAAATTTACTTTTCCCCACGGATTATTTCCTCACCTTCCAGTTCTTTTACCTCAGGTTCATGATTTTTTTTTTAATTTTAGTTAATTTTTTCCTATGCATGCCTCAGAATTCTAAGTTTTTTGTCACATCTTTTTAAAAAGAAATCTATCCATCAATAAGAGGTGAAAATAGAACTCAGACATTTATACAGTCTAAAAGAATACTTTAAAGATTTTTATCACCTGAGTAAGCCAAGAAGATGGGACTGTGCGTGTGTGTCATGCTTGCACAGCATATAGTGTGAGCACATGGCACTTGGAGTAGTCCAGAAGCTGATTTCATATCATTTTTATAAGAAAATACCAACATGATCGAAAATTACACTATTAGCAATAGTTTTATCATCATTGTAGATAGCCTCCAAAATGTTTATTTTATGTGGAAAGCTTTATTTTTTATCAGAAAGTAGTCCAGAGTGAGATTTATTTTGTATGTGGTATGGGCCCATTTTTCCCAATGTTTTAGTGTACCGAAATACTCTTTGCTAGCTATTTTGCTTTTTTCCCAATTTTAAGAGAACTCTCTCAAATATTGATCTATAGTAGGAGACATTTGTGCTTTGTTTTGCAGTGAGCGTGTTTGGGTAGTCCTTTGTACCAAGTTTACTTGTTTAGCTCGTGCATGCTTTTCTTAATGAAATCTCCACGTTACCACATACTGTCTGTCATCAAATCTGAGATAGCATAGATTATTAGATGCATCCCAATTTCAGAAATGCTAATTGTGGGGAAAAAAGACAAAAACCCAGTTTCTTAGAATTAATGAGATTCAATAAACTGAAAAATACTAGGCTAGCTTTTGTTCTGTAAAAGGGCCCATTCGATCGCTTTTCATGAGAAGTAGATGTGGTGAAGAAAACTTGTTCTCATTTGATAGGAACAGCATGTAGAATTACCCCTGCAGGTATAGTACTATATATATTTTGTCCGATAAATATTCTGCAGCAAAGAAATTTACTTGCAACAAAAAGTCAACTAGACAAGTAGATCAGGAGCTTAATCCTTTGAGTACCACGTCTGTCTCTGACACACCCAGGGCCTCATTGTTGTGCGCTGCCCTTAATTTTCAGGGCTGGTGCCAAAGTAACTAGCAATGAATCACTTACCTAAAGGCTTACAGTGCTTTAATGCCTAACTTGTAGAGAGAGAAAATTTCATAGTAAAGTGGGGGAGTCATGAGTTGACCTATGTGGTATAGTTGAGGGATAATTAAACTGGCATGATTTCTACATATATGCTGTGGGGGCATTTAATGATGATTTTTCTGTTGTGTAACAAGCAAAATGAGAGAGCTTATCCCCTTACTATTCTGCTGTTGCTCCTAAGGCAGTGATACAGCACTGTTTTTGTCCAGCTCCATCTATTCTGACAAAGTACTCTGTACTCAATTTATAAATTGAATGAGAACAAATGATACACCATTTTGGATAAAGGGAAATTGAAACAGAATGCCATGCAAGGTAGAAGTGCAAATTAAAAACAAAACAAAAAAACCAAAATTTGTGTACTGTTTGAATTTTCAGTAGCCGTTGATTATGCTTTTTTGGCAGCCAGATTGATGCTTCAGATTGTTAATTTTGGGGGAGAGGATTGGTCATTTTTTGTTGTTGTTTATGACATTTGAGTGTTAATACATGGTTTTTCACTTGAAAATTTTAGACTAGATAAAGATACCAATAACATTAACATTTTCTTATGTTGAAATTTATATTCAGAGGCATCCTGATATAAAGAGAAGCACATATGGCCTAGAAGAAAAAGCCCTTAGCACATATTCCGGCTTTGTCTTTTAATAACTGGGTAATTTAATTGATACTATGTAACTACTCTTGTCTTTATTTTCATTATCTGTAAAATAAATATAACATTAAAAATTGTCAAAAGGGAGAAAACATGTAAATGTGCTTAGAGCTATATTTGGAAATATAATAGAGAGTCAATAAATGTTAGTTTCCTCTCAGTCAAGAAATAGCCTTTGTGAGCCTCAGTTTTCTCAGGTCTGAAAAGGGGCTATTAACACTAGCTTCATACAAATGTTATTAGCTTAGCATTATTAGGATTATTTTAACCAAAGCATATTTGCATTGCATTAAAACTATGAATGTACTTTGAAAATACCTGTTATATTCAAAATATTTTTAAAAATGATAAAGTAGAAAATACTTCTGTGTTTTGAAATTAAAAGTGGAATAAAAACTACCCTATTGAAGGATTTAATCAAGTTTCATGCTAACTCTTAGAAATTGTACATGTTTTCTAATTTATTTTATTTAGATCTTTTTTGTTTGCTAGTTAATAAAATATTAAAACAGGATAGTGCCAGAAGAAGATGAGTTCAGTATTACTTTGCAGTTGTGTTTGAGACAGTATGATCAAGAAACTCTGTTGTGTGAGGAAGAGTTGAAGAAAGTCATGTATTTAGCCAGAGAAGACTAAGGGAAAATGTTGAATCTTTCTAACATTTTGAAGACTTTTATATAAAAGTAGAATCAAGCTGATTCATGGTTTCTTCAGAAAACAAAACCTAGATTGTACTGTTTGAGTCAGATTTTGGTGTGAGTTGAACTGAACGATTAGAGCTGACCTATGTAGAATGGGAGAAAGTAACTGCTCCAATCCTGGAACTTTTCAAACAGACTAGATAACCATCTACTGGAGGTACTAGAGAAGTTACTTCTGTACCACATGAATTCAGACGCAGTACTGCCCAAAGTCATAATCCTGCCCAAAGTCATAAAATATACTCTGAATGGGAAACTGAGGATCCATCAGCCTAATAAACAGTGCTTGTTTGTGAATCACCTGCATCAATACTAGATGAGTTTTTTATCTAAAACATAAAATGTCCTTGGTCGCACCCTCACTACTGAGTCAGACTCTTTGATGGTGGGTTTTAGGACTGTGTTTCTTGCACTCCTCAACTAGCATTTGGGAACCACTGGTCTGGACCAAGCTCCTCGTCATACAGGTGGGGTGGGTCTCTGAGACTCAGAGTAATTAAGCGACTTCCATGTGCTTTCAGTGTGAGTTTACTGGTGAAACCTGGGCCCCTGATTACAGTTCAGTACTCCTTCTGCTTTTCTCCACTACCTGTATTCTCTAATTACCTGAAATAAAATACCACTTTCATGGGGAATTTTCAAGTTTACATTTGCAATTTTGTCCAAAAATTAAATTTTGTTTCTCTTCATCTTTTCAGAATTTGGAATGTTTTTTCTATCCCTTTCACTATATTCCCATATAACTTTGCCATAAAAGACCAAAGGAAGATGCTTTTTTCTTGTCCAAGACAACTATATTCAGAACAGTAAACAAGTATTATCAGAATTATCCAACACTTCTGCGGATAAAGACACTAAGTCCTGCAGAGGTTAAATTGTAACCTAATTAGTGGCAGTGTCTCCTCCAAAAGTTAGATTTCCTCATCCCCAATTCAGTGCTCTTTCCACTATTCCTCACTAAAGGCTGATGTGGCCTATTGTTATTTTGTTTTAATACAGTCATTACCTGCAAGGTTTTCAAATTAATACATACTTCCCTCGCTGCTAAACCATGTATGTATACAAAATTTGGAACCAGACTAGACAAGCAAGTCCTAGTGATACCTTCAAATATGAAGACTAGAAACACTCTTTAGAGAGAGTTTTGAGATAGCATTGGGGCAATATTTCCTGACTCTTTGGGAATTCATTCATTTATTCAACAAATATTTATTGAGCACCTGTCAGGTGCTATGCCCTACTTTGGATCTGAGATACAGTAGTGAACAAAACAGACAAAAAACTCTTTTTCTTAGAATTACGTTGTAGTCAGGAGCGGGTTGGGGTTGGGGAGTTTGGAACTGGTTTGCAATTTTAGAATGATTGCCCAGAGAAGGTCTCAGTGAAGGAAGTATGGAAGCAAGCCATGTGAGTATCTAGGAAAAGAATGTTCCAGGTGAAAAGGCTCTGAAGCAGAGCATGCTTGGTGTGTTTGAGGCACGAAAGAGTGTCTGTGGCTAAAGCACAGTAAATGAGAAGGAAAGGAATAGGAAATTAGAACCTTGTAGACCAACCTAGACTTTGGTTTTTACTTTGAGTGAAGTTGGAAGCCACTAGAGGGTTTTAAACAGAAGAGTGAGTGACTTTTAGCAGTGCTACTCTGACTAGTTTATGGAGAATGGAACGAGTAGGGCGAAGACTGGAAGCTGGGAGACCGGGTAAGAGGTCATAGGGATAATCCAGGTGACAATAACAGCAGCTTAGAACAGTGAAATAATGGTCAGATTCTGGATATATTTTGAAGTTTAAGGCCTTAGAATTCATTGATGCCTCAGAACCAGCTGGGTTCTGTGAGGTTCTGGGTGAGAGTGAGGGTGTCAGGGATAACTCCAGAGTTTTTGGCCTGAGTGACTAATAGAATGGAGTTACATTTTGCTGAAATAGGGAGGATTATGGACATGCATATTTGAAAAGAAAGATCACTGACATGCTAAATTTCTATTACATATCCAAGAATACATGTTGAGTAAGCAATTTTACATACAGGTCTGGAGTTCAGAGAAGAAATCCAGGCTGGAGAGAGGAAAGCTACCTGTACGGTCTAGACCTTTGCTGGAACCATATAAGAGATGATTTTAAGTAATTAGACCATTGACTGTGTATAGTCAGTGGAAACAGTCTCATTCACTATGTAGTTTACAGCTTATGCTACTAATCTTTGTCAGTGGTATACTTTTCAATAAAATGTCACAAAGTAACATCTGCTGAATGTATGCATAATTTAAATAGATATAATTTTGATTTTATTTGACTTGTTAAATAAAATATTATTTGAAACAAAATTAAAATATTATTTAGAGTCTTATGAGCATTTTGTTATACAGGCATAATTTTTGTCATGGACTTTGCCTTAAATACACAGAAATTTTGACATAGTTCCTAACATTTACCTAGGATCTGACTTATTTATTTATCTTGTATTTTGGCTTTTTTCATTCTACACCCTATCCCCTAACATCCTTGATAAAAAGATATTTTTCCATCTATCTGCAGTTATATACCATGTATTGATATTTTTCTATTCCTTTCTTTTTAAAAAACAGTAATGGTACATTAACTGAAAGAAAACATTAAACATGTATCTTACTTTAAATTAGAAATATTCATAGTAACTTAATATAATAAATATGTAAGGTTTACAGAGTAGTAATATGTTGAAAAGTTTTTCACTGTCTTTTTGCTATAGAAGATTGCATAAGATATCTTTATCTTTATATCAAAATTTAACCATAAGTACTTCCAAAAATATTTTTAAAGCAGGTATTCATATATGCAAAGGAGATTAAGAAGTTTACATTAAAATTATCCTATCAAGTGACTTAATTAAAGCTGCATTTGAATCAAGTCAGCATAGTTATCCATCACCCAAAATGAGCGTGTCCTTATACTAGTGTCCATGAATCCTTATTCTGTAGATGGAGAGGAACAACAGATTATAAAAACCCACCTCAAATCCTTTGAGAAATATAAATCAGTAAATCAGAGTTTACAGTATTGATACTAAATGATCAGAGATGAATGGAGATTGATCAATGTAAGTTTTGTCAAAGAGGTAAGTTTTGAACCAGGATTTGAAGCTGCATGAGGGAAACTGAATAAAACAATCAAACTTCAAATTAATTGCTTTTAATTGGTCGTGTGTGTACATATACATATATGTGAGTATTTTTAACTTCTATTTATAAATCTTCACCCTAACCAAAAAGAATTCAAGGTGAGTACTCGAGAAGAATGTTCTGGATATGTGTATATACAGAAGTAAAAGAAAAGAACACAACATATGTGTTAAGGACAAGCCTGTGTTTCATCTTATTTGATGATAAAATGAGGATTTTTGTGATCATTAAATGAGAAAACGTGACAAGTGCTATGGAAGTACTACTGAAATATGTGACAGTATTGCCATCATCTACGCTTCATGATAGGAAAGGAGATATGAAGTTCCTTGTAGATTCTAAAGGGATGAGTACTTCAAGAAATACTTTTAAAAGTATTCTAAATAAGTCTTCCTGTATCCTCAATATATCTCAGTTTTCAATTATTATCTATTTCACATGTTAAAAATCCAGGTTCCTAGTTTGACCAAGAAATGGAATGTCAAAATCCAGATCTTTCTAGCTCAAAACCTCACCTATTGTTCTCTCTTCACCCACTTCCAAAATGGACATAATAATTCACAAAGGTACTTAAATCAGACTGCTCAAGGATATTCTTTCACTTAAGTATTACAAGGTTATTTAAATGTTTAACATGATTATTGTGAGGGGAAATTCTCACATTTTAAATTATTCACATGGCTTTTCTGTGCAGGTGTTCCTCAGTGGAAAAAAAAAGATTTTAAATAATCCCCTAGCGTGGTTTAAAAGAGCTCGTATTTTTGAAGTATAAGTATGTGTTTTTGTTTTTCCATAGTATATTTCTTACCCTCTTTTAGTCTTTGTTCATATTTGAATTTCGCTACTAAGTTAGCTAGTATTTTCTTTTGTTTGCTATTTTTTATCTGAAATTATTTTCACATAAATTAAAGCCCTTTTAATTTGTGGAAGACACTCATCAGATGTGCAGTGTGTCCAGTTGTTAGTTTTTCTCTAAATGATGCTGCCAATCTCCTAACTCTCAGATGAGTGCCTTATTAAAACCATCACGTTTTACGATGCCCACTAGAAAGAATGAAGAGAAAGGAAAATCATCTGTCAAAATCCCCTATTTACACAGTAACCGAAATTGATGTTTCTGAATAAAATTTTGGTTTCCCCAAAATTCAACCAGTATCTTGGTGGTAGATGAACATGTAACAATTGTAATGTAGTGCAAAAATATTTTTCTATCAAAAGCATGACATTTTTTAAAGCTTTTACAAAATAAAGGTAGCTAGTAAGCTTGATGAGGCTAAATGATTATCACTTCAGTGCCTTCTGGAGAAAATGTCAGCATAAGCAGCCACCTTTTATGTTGTCTGTAGATGTGGATTTTCCTTTATGAATTCATAATTTGAGACATCTATTAAAATAATGAAAATTTCTAATTCCTCTTTGATAGAGCTGGAGTGGACCAGAAAAATTGCTTGCTTTAGATGAACTTATTGATAGTTGTGAACCAACCCAAGTAAAACATATGATGCAAGTGATAGAACCCCAGTTTCAACGAGACTTCATTTCCTTGCTCCCTAAAGAGGTAAGCATTATCAGTTGTATTCTTCATTGGGTGGTATTTGAAAACATTACTCAACAGCTACCACCTTTAAACATTGTCATGCTAATTATGGTATTCAGTTTTGTCAGTTTAACACTCTTAATTAGTGTTGAAGAGGGCTGTAAATGACAAGCTGTCGTGACTTAATATAATTTTCAGATTAAAGTATACTTATGGACTAAATGACTTTTCCCACCACTGGAATAAGTCATATATGAGAATAAGCTATTGAGTTTCATTAATTTGATTGTCTATACCAAGATTTTTTTCCCAAGTTGTTTGAAGACCGTTTATTTGTCTTGATATATTCATTATGGAATTAGATTTCTTTTTTAATTCTGATTTTACTAATATAGTAATTGTTTCTTATTTTGTTGTTTCTTTATCCTAAATCCCTTAGAGACTATAGTTTTATGATTGAATTGTAGTTCAAATTTTTATGATATTGAATTGTAGTTCTCTGTAACTTATGTTGTGTAATTATTTTGAAATATAATGAATTACACATGTATATCTTTTCCTACTAATCATCCCCCTTCTTGCCCCCATTACACATACACATCCGTAAGCACAGATTTCCCATTACAGTTACATTATGATAGCATTTCTCTTGAAATTATTTATGCCCTTTTGTTTTTATATCTTTATATAAAATAAAAGATCTATGATTTTTTATCATAGAATGATTGTGATTGTATGGGCATTCTTGACTGTATAAATGAGGCATATTTTAGATGTAGTTCTTTTATTGATGTTATAGGCTGCATAGTTTCGTTTTGTCAGCAAACAGAAATAATGTAACATTAAATAATCAATGTTACTATGATTTATATTTTCACAAATTATATATTTGCTACTAATTATTTGTGAGTTTAGAAGATGATATATAATACCATTGCAAATGATCCTAAAATTTCAAATTTGCAAAGAAAAGTTGATTTTTTTTCAGATAACCATTCTAAATATCCTAAGGGTATTAAAGACAGTCTGAGTAATAATTTCACATTGAATGTGAATAAAATAGTTTCATCATATTTAATGTATAAAACTAAGCATGACTCTGGGAAAAAGCAAAGCAAAAAAAACTCTTTTCCTGAAATGTTTTTTCTTTAGGATGATTTTAAAAATGACATTGTCCCAGAAAAAATTTTTTTATTCTTGCTGGCTCATTCTAAAACTGAACCCTTTGAATAGATTTGGCTTATGAAAGTGACATAAGCTCTCTTTGCTTCCAGAAAGACGTTAATAATAGGAAGCACTTATAAGCATTTGACTGAAAGTGAATTTATTTGCCTTTGATATATTCTTCATGATTTCCCTTGATATTTAGAAGGTAGTATTTTTGTTAAAATATAGACTTTCTCTAGTTTGTCCCCTTATCTCGAAAAATGGTAAGTGTTTTGTTTTGTTTTTGCTCTATTTGGATTTCCACAGTAGCTTCTTAACACACAAAAATGTGATTTAAAATTAGAAAAATATAAAAATATTTTTAAGAGTCTAAGAATTAATCACAAATTATCAATAACAGGGTAAATGCAATACAAATTTTCTTGGATTAAGTGTTCTTTTAAAGATTGCCTGAGGGAAAAGAAGTCAGGCTAGACAGGAGAAGGAGTGAGTGAGCCCTGGCTCAGCATATCATCTGTATCTTCCCTGGTGTTTTTTGGTAAAGATTGGCACCTAACAACTGTTGCCAATCTTTTTTTTTTTTTTCCTCTGGTTTTATCTCCCCAAGTCCCCCCAGTACGTAGTTGTATATTTTAGTTGTGGGTCCTTCTAGTTGTGTCCCTGTTTTTAACTACTAGAAAAAAAGTTTCCTGTTTTGAAAAGTACTTTACTTTATATGTGGAAAAATAATGGTATAGATCTAAGTCCTTGAAGTAACTAACATGATCTTATTGGAGACTAAGCACTTTCATTATTTAAAACATTATTACCTTCATGTCAGGAAATGGACTTGTAATTTTTTTATAATTCCTTTCAACAGATCTCAAAACTCTTTACCAACATTTGTTTATTAATCTCAAATACATTGACAAAAATCTCACTAGCCTCACATGAGAGGCTTATGATAAACAGCATTATCCTTATTTTATAAGTAAATACCAAGAAACACATAGTGATATAGTAGATGATCTAGAATGAAACCTAAATTCTTAACATAGGGTCAGTCAACATTTTCTTTATTCTTTTTCGTTTCACTAGTTCAGTCCACTGAAATAGAGCAATTCTAGGAACGTATTAGCTGCCTTTTAAGTATAATATAATCATCTTTTATGTAAGTTATAGAAAAAAACCAAAAAATAGCAACTCTCACCGAAATGACAAGTTTGGGCAAGGAAAAGGTAATTATCCAAAATAGATTTTCAGCTTAAGAGCTTCTGTCTGGTGGAAGTAGTCTGTAGGAAGAATTACTAATCTAGATTTTACCTTTAAGACAAATTAATAGAAAATTGCATTAGCTAACCATTTCACTTGGCTGCAAGAAACCTATAACCCCTCCTGTGGTGTTGGAGAGATGTAGTTTGGGACAATGTCCATTCTCTAACCCTCGTAAGGAACCCCACACGACAAAATCTTGCTTCCTTTGAAGAACTGATATCCTTCCCCATAATACATCTAAGAATTGTGTAACTAGTTGCTGTTCCCTCTTTGCTTGGCAGTTTAATTCAAAAACCACGTAAGATATTGTTGCCAGCATATGTGTATTCTACTTTTCCCTGGTTTAAACCTTCTTTTCTGGTTTATATTTTTCCTGGTTCTGATTTTCTTTTTCATTTTTTCTATTTTGCCTTGTGTATTTTCTGTAATACCTAGATGTTCTGATGGAATAGACAAACATTTAATAAGTTGAAGTCCATGGTTGACTTAGGGCCTTTGCTATTTTAAAGGAAAGTGTGCCAGTTACCTGTGGAGTTAGTACTTCAACTTTCTTTGGCACCTGAGTGTTTCTTTACATTTGTCTAAAGCAAGCAGACACTAGGCTAGATCTCCTAATCAGCAGTAATGAAGGAAATTTTACCTGTTGATTTTGGGATGTACTTTTGAAATCTAAGCTGCTCTGGATTTGTTTTCTAGCCTTTAAGATCCATTTAGTGTTTCTGTAGATTACTAGATTTCTACTTTAGCTGGATCACTAAAGTAAAGAATAGACTTTTTCATATGACTATTCTAAATATCTTGGGCATTAAATAGCATCTCTTCCACAAACACAACTTTGTGCCTAATAATTTCTGTGCTAAATATCAATTTCACATAGAAGATTAATAATATGTTATTATCACATTACTGTTAAGCTGACACTAAGCAACCTTGCCCAGGTTTTGATCAATTGATAATTTTAAAATTAAGCGGCTTATGGAGTATCCATTAAAAAAAAATACAATGTTGAGATACATATGTATGTGTATATTTATATATCTGTATGTATGGAGATGCATATACATAGATTAGTGAATATACTTATGCCTTTTTATTTTAAATGACTCAGTTTCTATATGTGATACTGAATGGTCTTCTCTGATAGACCAAAAATAATTATTCCACAAAAAGTTTTTGACTGTCATTTGTCAATAGTAGTGTTAAATTGAATACTGACTGGTTAAAGAACTTTCTATATAGAATGTTCTCTTAAATATGAGAGTAATAATGAACTCTCTCTATATAAAGTCATTGGAAAAGCATAATTTATATCATGTAATTCCTGTTTAGCATCAAAAAGTAATTGAAATTATGCTTTTATCCCCATATGAACCTTGACCCTTTAAGTGATAGTTTGTTTTAATCCTTGTAATTTAATTTATATGAAAACTAAACTTTATTGCCCTGTTTAGATCATTTTTGTCCTAATATCATAATTTAAATGTTTATGTGATTTGTGAGGCTAATTGAGTAAGCATACTCAGAAGCTATCATTCCCCTTTTTCTTCTCTTTCCTCTTATTTATTTGAATTGATTTTACACACTGAAAAAATAATTGATGATTTGCACATTCTGGAAACAAAATTTTAAAATCAACGGTATACCAAAGAGCTAGCTCAAATATACAACTGTCTGGCCCGTCAAGAGAAGCCCCATAAGCAATGTAAAGGAATTAGAACCCAGTTACTTTCTATGTCTATGGAGTGGTTTAATAATTGTCCCCTTTTGTCATTTAAAGTAAAGAATGTAAATTTGGAAAGGTTCATCATTGTGATAATAAACACTTTGATGTGATAAAGCACTATTAATTATCTCTATCAGGAGTGATCTGAAATCATACCACACAGAATATATAGAAATCTCATTTTTTCTCTTAAGTCCTGTCTTCAGTGAATTTACATTGTAGTGGGGAGAGAAAAAGACAAATTTAAACAACTAATAAATAAATAGTAGAATATTGAATTGAGGCTCACAGAGGAAAGGCAAGAGCAGAGGCAGAAGAGGTGAGGAGTTAGTGGACTAAGGTTCATAAAAACCAATGGAGTGTTTGGGTTTTTAAAATCTGGTATATATTTGTTAAGACTGAATATTAGAATGTGCTGCCTTTCATAATTTTAGAAATTAGAATGTAGAATTAAATAACATCTATAAGTACTTTATCCTATAGAGAATAATTAACATTGTTTTTATCAAAAGTTTTTTTAAATATGGGTATACTATACTTTTCCTTTTTATAGCTGGCGCTTTATGTGCTTTCATTCCTGGAACCCAAAGACCTGCTACAAGCGGCTCAGACGTGTCGCTACTGGAGAATTTTGGCTGAAGATAACCTTCTCTGGAGAGAGAAATGCAAAGAAGAGGGTAAGGTTCAAAATCACATAGAGAAAATGTTTGTACTTTGAAAAAGCAAAGTGATTCTGAAAACATGAAAGTAATTAGTTTTATGTGTAAGTAGAATAAAGTGGTAAATAAATGAAAAGAAAATTTTGACAGCCTATCAGAGAATCAAGAATGAGTCTTCATTTACATTCACCTACTTATGTAAAGCCCACAGGTTATTCCACACATTCAAATGAACCAAATCTTGCAGCTGACTCCTTTAATGAGTACTGTAACTAATAGCAAATATATCCGATTTGCTTCCCAATCTCTAGCAGAATTAGTAAACAATGGAAAAGTCAAGATGAGGAAACTCAAAGGAAACCCAAAAATTTTATTAGCAATAAAATACTCAACTATTCCATATTCTATTCATTTCTTCTGCAGATATTTGTGAAACACCTCCTATGAGCTGAACATTCTTAAATTCTGGAGACATAATAGTGAACTTGCATTTTCTTCCCATCATGGAGATTATGTTCTTAAAACCTGTTAAAAAAAAAATCCCCTTTCTTAGTTGAGGAGTAGGTATCATGCATATTAATTTAAGAAAGGATATTTTTTTTCCAGCTGGCATCTAGGAAAATAATATTTTTTGAAAATAGGTAAAAATATTATTTGCCTCTGACAAGCAAAATTTTTGAGAAAGAATCATGGAGCATGAGACAGATACTCCATAGGTTATCTTGCCCTTCATGGAGGTCATAGTTGAATAGGGAACACTGGTGGTTAGTGAAACTTCGAGGTGAAGATCCAGGATACTTGGTTTCTAATCCTGCCTCTACCTCGTCTGTGGCTTGGACTAGTCAATGAAACCTTCTCTTCTCAAGTGTCTGTCCACATAAAGTGGGATTAATCATCCCTGCCTTATGTTCTCTCAGAGAAGCATTAGTTTAATGACTTTTTTAAAAATTGTGGTAACATATACATAACATAGAATTTATCATTTTAACTATTTTTAAGTGTAAAGTTCAGTTGCATTATTTACATTCACATTGTTGTGAACCCATCACCACCATCCATCTCCACAACTTTTTTATCTTCCCCAGCTGCAACTCTATACCCATTTAACAATAACTCCCTATTCCTCCTCCCTGCAGCCCCTGGCAACTACCATTCTCTTTTCTCTATGAATTTGACTACTCTAGGTCTCTCATAAAAGTGGAATCATACAGTGTTTGTCTTTTTGTGACTGGCTTATTTCACTTAGCATAATGTCTTCAAGGCTTCCGCTTAGCGTGTGTCAGAATTTTGTCTTCATTAAGGCTTAATATTATTCCATTGTATGTACATATCAGATTTTGTTTATCCATTCATCCATTGATGGACATTTAGGTTGCTTCCACCTTTTGGCTATTAGAAATAATGCTGCTATGAATGTGGGTTACAAATATCTGTTCAAATCTCTGCTTTCAATTCTTCTGGGTGTCCCAGAAGTGGAATTGCTGGATCATATCATAATTCTGTTTTAATTTTTTGGAGGGACCACCATACTATTTTCCACAGTAGCTACGCCATTTTATATTCCCACAAGCATTCCACATGAGTTCCAGTTTCTGCATGTCCCCACCAACACTTCACAGAATCATTTTGAGAAAGAAATGAAATAGTCGATCTGAAAACATACCATACAGAATGCAAACTTTACATTATTGTTTTGTAGCAACAGCATTAGAAATTGGACAGTGTCATGCATTTTGGTGATTTTGAGCATATGGAAAAATGAGGTACATTATAAAATGTGTAATTGTTATTGGTGAAGGCAGTTATACTCTTTAACTCTTTAAAACTTTAGGTATTGATGAACCGTTGCACATCAAAAGAAGAAAAGTAATAAAACCAGGTTTCATACACAGTCCATGGAAAAGTGCATACATCAGACAGCACAGAATTGATACTAACTGGAGGCGAGGAGAACTCAAATCTCCTAAGGTAACTGAACTCTTGGACAATGTAACAGAAACCATTAATCAGCGTTAATACCTAATGTACTCTTTCACTTCTTGGCAACCAGTATAACTTGACACCTATCTCCTGTAGAAAGAAAACAGTATATATTAAAATAACTAAAAGTGTAACTGACAATATTCCTTTACAGTCATGCGCCACATAATGACATTTCAGTCAATGACAGACCGCATATATGACGGTGGTGGTTCCATAAGATTAGTACCATATAGCCTAGGTGTGTAGTAGGCTATACCATCTAGGCTTGTGTAAGTGCACTCTATGATATTCGCACGACAACGCAGTTGCCAAATGATACATTTCTTAGAATCCATCCTGTTGTTAAGCAGCACATGACTGTATTGCTAATTTCTCTAGTCTGACAACTAATTTCACTTGAATAAAAGATGAGTTGAATTGCGTGTTGTTCTATCTTATGTAAATGAAAATTTCTGGCTATCCTGTTGAATTTTGTGTCATAGACATTCTACTTAGGAATTTGCTCCCTCTCTGACCACATAGTTCAAACATGAATTTTTGAGAAGTGTCCATGTTTTATTTATTTTGTTTATTTTTTGTTGACTTGTGTGTGTTTTATTTTTGTAAATTTAAGCATAATTTTGGTTTTCTGTCTTATAACATTTCAAGTATATAAAGATTGGCAAAAATCCTTGAAATTCTTACATATGTCTTTACAACTGGAAAAAAGCAATTTGGGGAGACACTGTTGTATTAATATGTATACATTATGGCAGGCTTTTTTGGTTTTAAGTTGAAAAAGTTGGTAATTATTGTTACTCTTATCTTTCTAGTTAGTAGGTGCTTTTGTTGTGTGGGTCAAAATTGCAAAACTTAGGGCCAGCCCCGGTGGTCTAGTGGTTAGGTTTGGTGTACTCCGCTTTGGCAGCCTGGGTTCATTTCCTGGGCATGGACCTACATCACTCAGTGACCCTGCTGTGGTGGTGGCCCACATACAAAATAGAGGAAAACTGGCAACAGTTGTTAACTCAGGGTGAATCTTCCTCAGCAAAAAAAAAAAAATAGGCAAAACTTAGATGCATGTTCTTTTGGTGTAAACAGATAAAATAGATAATTATAAAATGTTTAATACTTATTCATCAGCCAGAAAGGATGATGCTTCACATTATATATAAATTTTAATTTTATAAATAGGCTACGGATTACTGTTCCTATTTATGACTTCATTTTTCTTTTTACCAGTATTTTAAAAAACGTAATTTAATAACATATTTCTAATCTATTTATCTATCTTGTAGGTGCTGAAAGGACATGATGATCATGTGATCACATGCTTACAGTTTTGTGGTAACCGAATAGTTAGTGGTTCTGATGACAACACTTTAAAAGTTTGGTCAGCAGTCACAGGAAAAGTAAGTTTACTTCTTTCTCTACTTCACAAAGTCGCCATTTTGTGTGTGTCTTTGCAAGGATCGGCCAGTGAAAGGAAAACAAGGATTCCTTTTTGCCCCGAGCTTATTTCAATAGCAAATACCAGAGCTTCTAATTTAGCTTTTCCCTTGCAATGAAGATTATGTTTCTCATGAGAGGGACGTCATTGGTTTCTTCTTCATTTAAATAGTTCGTCTATCTTTGTGACTTAGCTATTTTAAGATTGCTTTATCTTTTTCTTGGCTTAATTTTCCCACTTAACCATCTAAGTTATATCTCCTTTCTTTTTAATGTTTGAATCTTTCTCAAAACTATGATTCAGGGATATTTGTTTTACCTTGTGAAACCACTTTGTTGATAACCCACCTATAATTTAGAAGTTAAATAAATCGTGTTAATTTAGACTTATCTCAAGCCTTGTGAGATGGAAGTTAAGCAGACTAGGCATTTAATAGGAATTGGAAGAAAGCAGTCCAAGAATCAGTTCCACTGCATGCAGTATTATACTTTAAAGTTTCTCTAGTGAATGCTTATTTTATATCTGTCCAATGGAGAATATTTTTATAAATTAAGTAATTGATCTAAAAACTAATAGAGGAAAGTATGAGGGAAAATATCTTATGTCTTTTAAGATGTCTTATAGCATGTTGATTCTTGGGCAAGAATCTTCTAAATATTCCAAGTCAGATATTAAAATTTTTAAAAGCAGCTTAATATTTCCATAGTGTAATATTAGTTTTGGATTTATTTCAGGGTTTTAATGTCTGTCTTTACTTGTCTAGAAGTGCCTTGCCTGGCTCCTAACTACTGCCTTGGGGCAGATTCAGATGAGATGTGGTATGTAGCCACACCCAACACTGTTGGCATTCTTTCATTGAATCCATTCCCATGGAAGAAACCAAGTTGCAATTTTAGTATTTTTTCATCAAAGAGGCCAGGCTGGAGCTGTCATACTTTCATGAGAAATGTTTACTTTCTACATACTGTTCCTAAATTGTGTGTATGTCTATAGTATGTAATGCTACTGAATAAACAAAGCAATAAATATTGATAGGATTATGTTATATTGATGTGAAAGATTATTTTCTGATACACCAAACAATCAAGTTGAGTAAATAACTTTACTCCAAATTTTAATGAGCTACTTAAATGCTATTTAAATCATTTTCCTTTCTACCCAAAAGTAATCATCTTAAGTGTTTTTCTAGTGTCTGAGGACATTAGTGGGACACACAGGTGGAGTATGGTCATCACAGATGAGAGACAACATCATCATTAGTGGATCTACAGATCGGACTCTCAAAGTATGGAATGCAGAGACTGGAGAATGTATACATACCTTATATGGGCATACTTCCACTGTACGTTGTATGCATCTCCATGAAAAAAGGTAAGGGAATATCCTGTAGTGGTTGGAAATTATCCTCTGTTACTTGTGAATTTGGGGCCTTTTGTGTAGAATTCAGCTTGTATAATACTTATTGTGTATAGTAGAGAGAGAGTGATAATGTGCTCTTCAATTAGACTATAATTATTAGACTTCTTAGATGTTTCTATACTAGGAAAACAGTGGTGTATCGGCTTAAAATTGGGAGGTTGTCTTTAAATTTCCTTCCTCATTTAATAGTGTTGTTGGCTTCCTCCTTGAAACTCTTTACTCTCTAGTCTTGAATGACACCTTACTTTATTGTTCTACATCTTTGATGAGTCATCATATTCAAAAAAATTATTTTCTCTTTTTGTTGATATTCATATTTCTGCTAGTGGGACAAATTCAGTTATTCAGGCTTCATGCCTCTGAGTCTTTATTTACCACCCTACCCCCACCACATCGTATCCCCTATATCTAGGCAAAAGCTGAAGCCTGTGGGGTATTTTTTTTTTCCCAAGGAAGATTAGCCCTGAGCTAACTACTGCCAATCCTTCCTCTTTTTGCTGAGGAAGAATGGCCCTGAGCTAACATCCATGCCCATCTTCTTCTGCTTTATACGTGGGACGCCTGCCACAGCATGGCTTGCCAAGCGGTGCCATGTCCGCAACTGGGATCCGAACCCTGGGCCACTGAGGAGCAGAACGTGCGATCCTAACCTCTGCACCACTGGGCCAGCCCTGTGGGTTTTAATTGTTTCTCTTGTTACCTATCATCTGAACTATTGACATAGCTTTCAAACTTGGTCTTCTCAGCTTTTGCCCAGCTGACAGAGAATACTCTTTTAATTATGATAGCATCGCTGCCCTTTGGGAGCCTTCTGTTGCTTACTGAATTAAGGAAGAAATCCTCAATCCAGTTTTCAAAACGGTTTCAGCCAAACCAGACTACTTGCCTTTTTCTTCTCTGACTTTGCTGTTGCTTTTATGTGCTCCTTACAAAGCCCTCCTGTCAAAGTCCTTTCCGTCTTCTCTTGGCATGTCTTCATGGTACCCCTGTTAAACAAATGTGATTTCTACTTAATTTGTCCAAAAAAAGTCTCTTTGAAGGGTCCTTACAGTGAATCCACTCTAGTCTTTACCTTTAATTCTGTCCAAAGCATCTTCTTTATTAAGAGCCATTACATTAAGCAGATAGCACACTAGATTTGCAATATGGGAAGAAAAGTACCTTTTCATCTGTAATTTGAATCTACTTTGAACACTGTGTCCTACTATTAAAATTTGGGGGATTGGCATCAAGAGACCTTGCATTTCAGTTTCCCTTATGTTCTGATTTAAATCTCTCAGTGCTTCCATTTTCTACTCTTCCAAATGTGGAAACTGTGGCCTTTCTTTATCTCTTAGGAATGACATAAAGATACCTGAGTTTTCTACTCTTCTTTGTGATCCAGTGATTGCAGTACAGTATTTGTATCACTCTTGTCTTTAGAAAAGTATAATTTTAATAATATTGAGCCAAATTTTTAAGGGTTTTCTGTTGCCTCTACATGTGTATCTTCTAAAATCTGTATATCTTAATGCCCCCAAAGCCTATTGAATGTTTTTAAATATAAACATATGCAGCCTTTTTTTGAGGACATGTCTTCAACTGGTTAATTTTACCAGAATATATGGTATAAAGTACCTATCTTTGGCTGTTTAAATTCCAAATTCTAATTTGTTTTGTTGAATAACCTTTATTGAATTTTTTCCTAATCGCAAAGGGAATACATGTTCATAATTAAAATTTTGTGAAATCTCAGAAAGAATAAAGAAGAAAATTTAAAATTTTCAAAATACTGCCACCCTGAGTTTCCCAATTAACATTTTGTACATATTGTTCACATTAGCATTTTATTTCTAAAAGCAAGATCTTATTGTATGTATTTAGAGCTGGCTGCTGCTGCTGCTGCTTTAAATACAACACAGTAGTTTTCAAACTGTTCCACAGAACCACAGGGTGCTACTCAATCCCTCATAGGTGAGGGAACTAACTATACAGGCAGAATTCTAGGCTTCCCAACTTCCCATCCCAATCCCAGTAACTCAGCTTTTGTATATTTCTATCAATATCAAGGTATTACACAGGATTTCTTTTGAAAACAGGCGTTCCTGCTTAAGAAAATAAAAAAATAAGTTTAATAAGCACTGACTTTATGTTTTTTCATGTTATTAAACATTCTGATACATTTTTTTTTCTGTTTTCCCCCCTACAGAGTTGTTAGCGGTTCTCGAGATGCCACTCTTAGGGTTTGGGATATTGAGACAGGCCAGTGTTTACATGTTTTGATGGGTCACGTAGCAGCGGTCCGCTGTGTTCAATATGATGGCAGGAGGGTTGTTAGTGGAGCATATGATTTTATGGTGAAGGTGTGGGATCCAGAGACTGAGACCTGTCTACACACGTTGCAGGGGCATACTAATAGAGTCTATTCATTACAGGTAAGAGATCATATCTGCCTATCCCTTAGATGCTCTACTGATGAATCATAAAATTGTTTTAGTCAGATAATCATTGTCCAATTGCTGATCCCATACAGTCCAGAAAAGGCGAATCAAATTATCCTACTGTTTACATATACTTTAAAATGGGCATGAAGAAAGCATAAATTTTTAAATTATTTAAATGATTGGTTTCAATTTTTCTGGGATCCATTTTCCATCTAAAACACAAATATTTGTCTTGGAACCTGAGACTTCAGAGCCCTAAGATTTGCTATATTAATTAATGGGTAGATAGTCTCATAGGAGAATAACCCGGATTTTAATAAACTCCTTAGCAAAGGATTAATTTGGCCAAAAGCTGCCCCTTTGCCTTGATAGCTGAAAGTTGACAGACCATGTAATTGTGATTCCATCCCCATTCAAAGTGGAAGTGGAGCCTTTCTGCGTAAAGCTGCTTTACCATTCCAGGCCTACTGATATGTAGTCATAAAGAAGTAAATTTGACTCAACTGATTTTTTGTTGTTGTTTACATTTTGAACCTGAGATCCTTGAATAGATTGCTGTATTTTGAGATAAATAACTACATTAATAGCAAGTTTAGAAAAGGAATGTTGTTTCATTTTCTGAAAAATAGCATTTCCAATTTGAAAATATTTCCTATTACTTATGCTTACCAGTTACTGCCCATTAGTGATCAGCAACTTCATTCATCATCCCAGTGCTGACGGTTCTGTTTTGGGGGTTTTTGTTTCTTAATTGATGGAATACTGTCTATGTCATGAAATGCTGATATATAATAAAGATGTCTGTTAACTTAGAGAAAGTTATGAATTTGGAGGAGGGAATTGGCTGCAGTTGTTTTTATATTTTGTGATATGCTCAGAACCTTAATGAATATAATATTCTCATTTAAATAAACCATTAGATGGAGAAGAGGGGTAGCAACATTATTATAGATCTTCTGGGAATTGCTCTTTATTGACTTTTGGTATAGCTGGGAAGCTGAAGAAGAGGTGCTCTGTAGTTAGCTTTCATTATCAAAAATGCCCACTCTTCTAATCCCAGATAGAATTACCTGTTGACATATTTACTCATTAGCCTTAAGTTCTTGTAAATGAAATTTTTATCTTATATACAGTTTTTAATGGGACTTACTTTTAAATATCATGAAAGTTAACTCTAGCCCTTTTCATGCCGTAGTTGTTGATAAGCATGGGGCCCTTTGTCACAAGCTATGTTAATAGTCTCAACTTCCTATTGGGAAGTAAAACTCAAATGACAATCCTTATTGAATCATCCATGATATGTAGCTACTAAGTATGGCCTGATGATCTGAAAATAGTATATCCATTTTAGATGTTTATTTTCTTTTTACTTGTTTTTGCATCTAGTTGAAGCCACTGGCCACAGAAAATTAGCATTTCTGATAGAAACTTCTGAGAACATGCACTGTAGAGTTGCTTGATTACATGTGCTTTATCCTAGTACCTCATTTTAGTCTTGGCATTACCCATTTCCATGCTCTACTCCTCTCCCCCATTAGGATTAAGGCCAATAAATAATATCAAGGACGTCTACACTTCTAGTCTAATAAACTGTGTCTATTGTAGTTTGATGGCATCCATGTGGTGAGTGGATCTCTTGATACATCAATCCGAGTTTGGGATGTGGAGACAGGGAATTGCATTCACACGTTAACAGGACACCAGTCGTTAACAAGTGGAATGGAACTCAAAGACAATATTCTTGTCTCTGGGAATGCAGATTCTACAGTTAAAATCTGGGATATCAAAACAGGACAATGTTTACAAACATTGCAAGGTAGGTATTGGCAACCCACCTTTCGTTGTGTTCATTAAAAATGAAATTGTTAGAGGAGAAATAGGGAGCTTTTGTATCACAAAAGGAATTAACCTCATACAAAATGAAAATGCTTATTTTGGATAAGTTTATGAGCATTTCTACTCTGACTTGACAGAACTAGGCTACCCTTGAGAAAGTGTTTGAAATGGTGTTTCTAATATAAAATTACTTAATCACTTCCTGTACAGTTAACTCTACCTAACCTTAAAGAACAATATGAAGAAAGATCTTGGCCATATCACAGGACTCACTCATTTTATTTTTTTGAGACATCATTTTATTTTGAATTTGTAGTCTAATTTTAAATTAAAGAGCTACCTTACTGAAAAAAATCCAGAATCTGATAGAAAATTGCTTTGGCCTCAACTTAGACCCTTAACCATCTGCTTAACCAGGATGGGAAGGAATAATAGTGCCCACCAACATAGAAAAAGACACGTGTGAAAGCCACTAATATTAAATGAGGCACAACTCTGTTAGCTTCTTACGTTATGGTTAGCTTCTTTTTATTGGTCATGGCCCTTAGAAAGTGTTTTTTTCAGTGAGGCCATCTGGTGGGCTGTATTGCAGCTAATTACTCATTGGTTTTGTCTCTTCCTCGGAGTGTTGAAATAGTGTCCACTTAGCTTTTGCCTTCTACTGGTCAGTTCAAAGTAGTAGGGTAGTCGATCTCTTATGCTCGTTTGTCCATCAGCAGAAGCTGGACTATCTATCTACATCATCACCAAGAGAAGCTCTCATTCACACAGCCAGAAAAAATGTGTGCCTGGTAGCTAACCACGCTTGCTGGGACAGAACTCTTGAAAATTAACATTTTGGTTACAAATACCTACCCGATATTCTTACATCCCCACTGATCCTAAAATACTCAGAACACAGTTTCTAAATATGCAGCATTTTAAGTATTTCATTTATCATATGCTCTAACGTAGAAGTCTGCAAATTACAATGTAACTAACCCATAGCCATGATTTCCAACCAGTAATTAAGTTCCTCTGGTTTTGCCTAGGTCCCAACAAGCATCAGAGCGCTGTGACCTGTTTACAGTTCAACAAGAACTTTGTAATTACCAGTTCAGATGATGGAACTGTTAAACTATGGGACTTGAAAACGGGTGAATTTATTCGAAACCTAGTTACATTGGAAAGTGGGGGGAGTGGGGGAGTTGTGTGGCGGATCAGAGCCTCAAACACAAAGCTGGTGTGTGCGGTTGGGAGTCGGAATGGGACTGAAGAAACCAAGCTGCTGGTGCTGGACTTTGATGTGGACATGAAGTGAAGAGCAGAAAAGATGAATTTTGTCCAAATGTGTAGACGATATACTCCCTGCCCTTCCCCCTGCAAAAAAAGAAAAAAAAGAAAAAAAGAAAAAAGAAAAGAAAAAAGAAAAAAATCCCTTGTTCTCAGTGGTGCAGGATGTTGGCTTGGGGCAACAGAGTGAAAAGACCTACAGACTAAGAAGGAAAAGAGGAAGAGATGACAAACCGTAACTGACAAGAGAGGCGTCCGCTGTCTCATCACATAAAAGGCTTCACTTTTGACTGAGGGCAGCTTTGCAAAATGAGACTTTCTAAATCAAACCAGGTGCAATTATTTCTTTATTTTCTTCTCCAGTGGTCATTGGACAGTGTTAATGCTGAAACATCGTTACAGATTCCGCTACCCTGTTCTTTTACCACTGAGACCTAGAAAGGAGCTGCAATAACATCAAAACAAGTACTGGTTGACTTTCTAATTAGAGAGCATCTGCAACAAAAAGTCATTTTTTCTGGAGTGGAAAAGCTAAAAAGAAAAATTACTGTGAATTGTTTTTGTACAGTTATCATGAAAAGCTTTTTTTTTTTTTTTTTTTTTTTGCCAACCATTGCCAATGTCAATCAATCACAGTATTAGCCTCTGTTAATCTATTTACTGTCGCTTCCACATACACTCTTCAGTGCATATGTTGCTCAAAGGTGGCAAGTTGTCCTGGGTTCTGTGAGTCCTGAGATGGATTTAATTCTTGATGCTGGTGCTAGAAGTAGGTCTTCAAATATGGGATTGTTGTCCCACCCCTGTACTGTACTCCCAGTGGCCAAACTTATTTATGCTGCTAAATGAAAGAAAGAAAAAAACAAATTATTTTTTTTTATTTTTTTTCTGCTGTGACGTTTTAGTCCCAGACTGAATTCCAAATTTGCTCTAGTTTGGTTACGGAAAAAAGACTTTTTGCCACTGAAACTTAAACCATCTGTGCCTCTAAGAGGCTGAGAATGGGAGAGTTTCAGATAATAAAGAGTGAAGTTTGCCTGCAAGTAAAGAATTGAGAGTGTGTGCAAAGCTTATTTTCTTTTATCTGGGCAAAAATTAAAACACATTCCTTGGAACAGAGCTATTGCGCCTGTTCTGCGGAGAAACTTTTCTTTTTGAGGGCTGTGGTGAATGGATGAAAGTACATAATAAAACTGACAAAATATTTTAAAAATATATAAAACACAAAATTAAAATAAAGTTGCTGGTCAGTCTTAGTGTTTTACAGTATTTGGGAAAACAACTGTTACAGTTTTATTGCTCTGAGTAACTGACAAAGCAGAAACGACTCAGTTTTTGTAGTAAAGGCGTCACACGCAAACGAACGAGATGAATGAGAGTCGATGGCTGCCTCATTCTCCAAGAGCCACAACTCAAGCTGAACTGTGAAAGTGGTTTAACACTGTATCCTAGGCGATCTTTTTTTCCTCCTCCTGTTTATTTTTTTGTTTGTTTTATTTATAGTCTGATTTAAAACAATCAGATTCAAGTTGGTTAATTTTAGTTATGTAACAACCTGACATGATGGAGGAAAACAACCTTTAAAGGGATTGTGTCTATGGTTTGATTCACTTAGAAATTTTATTTTCTTATAACTTAAGTGCAATAAAATGTGTTTTTTCATGTTAGTATGCCTGTTTCTTCCACTGAGGTAATAATACTTCATTATAAATATTTAGGGTTTGTCTCTAGTATTTAAAATAGCAAAGTCTTGGTTTCTTTGCATTCCCTGTAGGGTGACAGCAGTCAGTACCTCCAGGCCTGTTTTATACAGCTAAGGTAAGAATAATGTGTCGCAAATGCAAATTTCATTTATCTCCCTAGACTATAAAGGAGGACACTCCATTGTGCTTATCTCTGCATTACACTGGGATGTGTAAATATGGAATCCAGGTCCCTCAGAGAGTAACAGAACTTATGATACCTACAAAGTTCTATAAATAAGTTCTATAAAAAGTTCATTTTTAAAATTTGACCACATACTGAGAACTCACCAGGAATTGTCTATGCGTTATCTCTGAAGCTCCCAGCATTGTGAGAAGTAGGTACTGTTGTCTCCATTTTATAAGATGAGGGCAAAACTGCGGCCCTGGCTGGTTAGGTGATTTGTCAGAAGTCAGCTAACTAGTAGAGCGCCAAGATTCAAACCCATGCCCTCTGAGAAGAAAGAAACCTAGAATTCTGACAGACTAAAGCAAGGTTTGGGAAAAAATAAGTCATTTTTCTGGTATTTTCAGGCTCTTCTGTTGCTGTTTTCTTTGATAAATCTAATATTCTATAATACAAGTGAAAAAGATGAAGTTCAGTAATTCAAATTATATAACCTCTCAAACAGCAAGTTCTCCCTCCCATATATATATATATATCCAATAATCTCAACTATCTGGGCCATAGATAAAAATCTAAATTTAATAAAAATGGATGCTGCTTAGAATGAGCTTCTCACAGTGATGAAGTATGTGTTGTTGACTTAGAGGGCAGCACTTCTTGGGCCTCACCCTCCCAAAGCTGCTCACTCAGAGCCTCTGGGAGCAGACCCCAAGAGGCTGCATTTCAGCTAGCTCACCAGGTGAGTTACAGACGCAGCTCTGACAACCACGGCCTTAGATAGCCTGCGAGTACGTTTGGTTATTTGGTTTATTAGTCCCCAGCACATTACGGGCACAAGCACGTCAGGGAGAAGTGACAGGTTAAAGGCAAAGACAGAAGAACTACATGGTTAAATACAAGGGAGAAACTGTTTTCGGCAGCTAAGTGCGGGGTGAGCGGCCCTGCCTGCCTGAGGGGAAACAGGGCACAGCCCGAGCCACTGCCAGTGTTCACAGTGATGGCTCTGAACCACCAAGAAAGAGTCGTGGTTCTACTTGGTAGCTTTGAGACTGCTTGATCTTTCATAATATAAATGTGACTTAACTATAACATGATTGAAGAAAAGCGTCATCTTTAAAAAGAAATGAACATTATAGAATAGAACGAGTCCACAGGTTTTGCAGACATACAGGCCTGAATTCAAATCGCAGTTCTTCTCTATTACTGTCTAGTTAGGGGACCTTCCTGAGGCTTCTTGACCTCGGGTTGCCTCATCTTCTGGTACGTAGAGCATACCCACCTCCTAAGGTTATCATAAGAACTAGGTGAAATGTTACAAAGCACATGGCACATGATGGCACTTAGGGCTCGATAAACAGCTACTATTAAAACTTTGAGAAACCTGACCCAGATAATTGTAACCTTCTATATTTGGGAACAATTGAATGTGTTTGTGACTCATTCAGGTATGTAATAAAAATAGTATATATGTATATATATATATATAAATTTACATTTTTTTTTTAAAGCGGAGTCACTTAGATTTCTCATTTGAGTCTTACAGAAACCTTGTGATATAGGCTGGTCTGGAGCACCTAACAGGGATTTTGTATTTACTTAGGTGTTCATTAAATATTATTTTATGAGTAAATGAATAATCTTTTTTATGGTGGATCTGTTCCTGAAAGGGAAAATGTTAACTTCAATCTAAAGGAATTAAAGATCATTACAAAAGAAAGGTGACGAAGGGAGCCCTGCTTTTTGTCCTCCTCAATGAAGAGATTCACCACTGTAGAGAACTGTGAATTTTTAGTCTTCATAACAGGATATAGGCAGTCCCCACATTTAGATGTTAGAAGTTCCCGAAGATCAAACGTTGCCAGAAACTAAAGCTAAAGTTAGGACACAAAAGTAACCCATAAAAGCCCGTAGCAGGTGCTCAGGAGACACTTGTTGAATCCAGCAAGGGGAGTTTACTCTTTCTTTTTTACTGGAATTGTTTACAATTTTGACACTTTGAAACTCTTACTGAGATTCAGTAACCACAGCTATTTCCTTAATTTGCAACAGCTAGTGCATATAACTGGTTAAGTAAATGTTTCAACCTACCTATTTGTTTAATTTCAAAAAGTAATTGACATTTAATTATTTATATTAACTGTTTTTAAGCCATATTCTTTACATCTTTTGAGCAAGTCTGTTATAAAGTCTCCTTTCTTTCTGAATTGATTAGAGCCTACATCAACAGAAAAAAGACCTTGGTGACTTTCTCTTCCCTAAAGCGAAATGGGACGATCAAAGGCAGCTCCCCGGCGCCCAGGCTGTGCCTGGCTGTCTGCACACTTTCCCCGATGTACCCCTTGCGCACTGTGAAACCAAGGTACAGAGGTGGGGGAGAGAGGACACCTACAAGGAGCCTGCCCTACTCCACGCTCACTCCCCTAACTCCTTCCATTCCACATCGAAACCAAAAAGAAGCCGCTGTGCACTGCAGGGCTAGATTCACATTAAGTTGTTCCTGATTTCTTCCCTCAGATACAGCTTTACTCATTTTCCTTCTCTTAGTCATTGCCCACCCCCAATAAAAATCAGTCAGGATTGTAGCATTTATTCCATCAGATTCTTCAACCAATAAAGAATTCAACCTTGTCTTCCCTTACAGCAATTCCAGGAGAACCTCTTGTTGCGTAGAGCCATTTGTAATTCTACTGATAGTAAAAGTGGTTTAGTGTTGCTGAAGAATAGTTTTGAATAAATGCTCCTGACACAGGTTGTTTTAGTGTTCCCTGCCTCACTGCATATTGAAGATAGATTGTGCGTGTGTGTATATGCATGTACACACACATACATATACAAGAATATATTGGAACCTGGGAGTAAAGCTCTTGTTCTCGGTGAGTCATAATAGCATCGTTTCCCTGAAGCCTTTCTTGCCTCCATCCGTGTACACAAAGGAATGGGCCATATAAAGGAAAGGTGTTGGTGGCTGGGAAGAGACTTGCTAAGTCTTCATGATAGATCAGTGGCCTCTGTGTCCGAAAGAGGAGGTTGTGTGTGTATTCACACAATGTTCCTGGAGTCCTCTTTTAAGCAACTATATGGTAATTTGAAAAGTTGATGCACATTTTTTTTTTTTTTTTGAGGAAGATTAGCCCTGAGCTAACATCTGCTGCCAATCCTCCTCTTTTTGCTGAGGAAGACTGGCCCTGAGCTAATATCCGTGCCCATCTTCCTCTACTTTTTTTATATTTGGGACGCCTACCACAGCATGGCTTGCCAAGCACTGCCATGTCCGCACCCGGGATCCGAACCGGCGAACCCCGGGCTGCCGAAGCGGAACATGCGCACTTAACTGCTGGGACACTGGGCCAGCCCCCACAGTTTTTGATTTTGGCATTTTCTACTGTCCAGGAGATGGATGTTAAGTTAGATCCAAAGTGGCTGCCCCCAGCTCCCTTTTATTGGGAGTGCCTCATCACTGATTTGAGTTGCAAACCAACAGCGCATGGCGTTGTTCACCAGCCAACATGTTTCATCCATTCGGTTAATATTTGTGATGCCCGAATGAATGAGGTTCTTGCCAACTTCGTCCCTCTGCCACCTTCTCTTTCTAGGTGGAGGAGACCAAAAATATCAAAAGGTAATTTCAGAGGTCCTTCAGGGAAAGGAAAAGTACGGAAAGGTGAACGGACTCAGAATGCACCTTTCCCAAAAATGTAAAGTATAAATAAATTCTAGATCCAGTTCCTACGAAGACTCATTGCTGAGATGAAAGCCTGGCAACTTCTCAATTTGCAATTGGGTTTAAAAATAGCAGAGTTTCTATTTCAGGTGATCTGATGCTCCCCAGGATTCTTAAGGACAAGGAACCACTGAGTGGACATTTTGATGTTTCATTCTTTGCTTTGGAGAATCTATCATGGCAAAACCTGTGAAGGCTGTTTATCTTTGTTCTCTGTTTTGCTTCAACAGTCATGCTCTGTGAAGGAAAAATTATGTTGAAATCACTCTTGCAAATCAAAGGTTCGGGTATAATAGACCACACAAAAAAAATATTAACAATTTACCCTTTTTCTACAAGGTTCATGGATTATAAACAAGACATGAAACCAATACTCACCGTAAGAGGAAGGTTACTCGCAAGACTTTTGAAACTCGTATTGATGAAGCCTGTTAAGACGTTACCAAACCCTTACGCCTTACCAAATGCAATCAGCCAGTGGAGTCCCCTGTGACCGTGAGCCTTTCCATTTAAGGATGGTCTGTAAAATGAGTTTGAGTAGCTCAGTAAATCCAGCAAGGACACAATAAGTTATAGAGGTTAAGAATAAAACTGCATGCACCTCTGGTAAGGGTCAGATCTGGGTTTTGGGGACCCGAAGCTTATAAACTTAAGAACCCTCTTAAAGAAAAGAAAAACCCGAAAAATTAGATGCGAAAGTGAACATTTAGAATGATAAAGATTATAACAAATTACTGAAGCCTTGGTAACGCAGATCCCTTTGTTCTGAGGTCTCTTAGTTACTAGAGTTGCTTAATAGAAGTGCTTGATTGTAGCCTGGCTTCTCCTCCCTGCCTGGAGCACTACAGCTCCCAGCAACGCCTATTTCTCAGAGAGAGCTGCTAACCGAGGGACTCTGGAACTTAGCTTCATCAGTTGCAAGGAAAATCCACCTCTGCCTCTCTCAGCTTCAATCCTCTCATCTGTAAATGGGGTCACGTTATGGGGATTACATGAGACATTGTATGTTGAGCACTTAGCATAGGGCCTGGTATGTGGTAAGTATTCACTAAACGGTTGTGGTTATTACCAGTAATA